AGAATTATCATTTCCGATGTAATGATCGTTAACCCTTAATTACTCGCGCTGGTGTATTTTGTACACCAGCGCCAAATTTCTTGCTACCATCGAACGTAGAATTTTTTTTGTGGCTCTAGACTCCCACCCAACCTATGTCTAACATGTCTGGGATGTGATAGATCAGTTTTGTGTGTGTGTTTGTAACTGTTTGTACGTAAATTTTGACGCGTTGTCACGTTGGTGCCCAATACACTGCGTGGGAAATGGGGTAAATTATCTAAGTATACCTATTCAATATTGTATACAAACACGTTAGTTGTGTATTATGTGGACGCACTAAAAACAGAGTGAATTTTTTTTTTAATTGCATTTCCTCGTTGGATCCAGCACTGGATCCAACGCCCCATAAGTCGAAACTTGTGCGGGGTTAGGAGAGCATACGTTTTTGTTTCACCTAAAAACAAGTCAAATTCATGGTGGTGTACAAAATACACCGCGCGGGAAAAAGTTCGAATTAATTAGCGCGAGTAATCAAGGGTTAAAACGAGGACAGCCTGTATATTCCGCATTACCCTATCTAGAATCGGCATGGTCATAAACAACGAGATATCGTATAGCATTGGCAAGTTTTATACCTATTACACCAATAATTTATTCTTTAAAACACCACTAACGCGTGATAAAATATAAGCAGACAGGATTATCCGCAAACGAGGATTAGAAAAGGTCTTGAATGTCAGTAGGGGGATAATGGTGTCTCATAATAATTCCATTATCGAATATGTTCAGAAAAAATTGTAACAAATTTAAGCTACAGATATTTTCGCCATCGAAATTTCGAGTGTTATGATGATAACCTCAGATTCTATAAACTTGAACGTTTATTTATCTGGAGGGAATTTTCCGACATATGGGGCAAATGAAATTTCAATGAAAATGTTGAAAAGTTCAACGAATTATAAGAGTGCGAAAGGCCAGTTTATGCATTTCTGGGAATAATAGGGCATGCACGCATGCACTTTCAATCTCAGGGAATAAAAGTTGAAACTTGGATTTCTTCTCAAACGCCATAGCAATGCTTCCTGTCGAATGAAGCATCACTAATCGAATGCAGCAATAATAAGCTGTGTGTTCCATTTGAAAAAAAAAAAATGAAATTCGTGCCACGCACAGCAGAATAAAGAAATCTGGCAACATCGCCGATACGATTTTTCACTTCCTCAGATCGAACAACCCCCAGGTACTGGAATTCATTGATATCACATTTATTATTTCAGAGATACTCAGGAGTCTTTATCCTTTTATTCAAAAAATGCTATAAAAAAAATCTCCGAAAATATCCAGAATTCAAAGTTGTCAATTTGAGGTTCCATCAAATGAAGCATCAGTAATTGAATGCAGTTATAATGAACTGGGTATTGCATTGCAAAAACAAATTTGTGCCACGCACCAGCAAAATAAAGAAATCTGGCAAAATCGCCGATACTATTTTTTACTTCCTCAGGTCGAACAGCCCCTAAGAACTGAAATTCATTCAGGAGGTCTCATACTTCCAAAAATGCTGGTTTGCAAAAATCTTAGAAAATATCCAGAATTGAAATTCGTCAATTGGAGGTTCTATTAAATAAAGCATCAGCAATCGAATGCAATTATAATAAACTGGGTGTTGCATTTAAAAAAACAAAGTTGTGTCACGCACAGCAAAATACAGAAATCTGGCAACATTGCCGATACGATTTTTGATTTCCTTAGGTCAAACAGCCCTTAAGGACCGAGTTCCATTGAGATCGCATTTGTCATTTTCGAGATATTAAGGTGTTTCCACACATATACCCAACCCTGTATGTGTATCAAATTTCAGAAATATCTGTTAACAAATGCAGAAGTTACAGGAGTGACCCGATAGATATCTTGTATCACCCGGTAGATATACCTTTACACTCGCCTTTACACATACACACATACACGAGGTTTTTTTCATCAATCACATAACCTAATTCTCCCTTTTCGGTTTATGTATCGGGTCGAAATTTCGAATAAGAGAAAAATGGAAACGTGAAAAACATGATAGTTTTTCTGATACTAAGAGCGAAAAGCGACTTCTAACGATGACAAATGTGTGGGTGTTAGCGAGGGGAAACCATATAAAATGACATGAAACAAATTACCTAGTGAGCAAACATTGATGAGGCAAACCCGAGGGGGTTACCACTAGTAAAAAAGAGTCCCAAGCATTTCCGCATTTCATGCATTTCGTAAGCATTTCATCCATTTCGTAAGTATTTCATCCATTTCAGAAGCATTTCATCCATTTCAGAAGCATTTCATGTATTTCATTAATTTCGAAATGCATTTCATCCATTTCCATACGTGATTGCTAGATGTCTGAAGCATTATTCTGACATTTCATCACATGTCAGCCATTCAAATACATTCCAAGCCATTGCGTGACATTTCACTATACAATAGCATTTCAAACCATTTTGTGATATTTCAAAGATTCCATTTCAGAATAATTCGTACCATTTCCTTATAGCATTTTATTTTATTTCATGGCTTTTTAAGGTATTTAATGCATTTCAAGGAATTTCAAAATATTTCAAGCATTTCGAGGCATTTCATGCTATTTCAGAACTGACATTTCATTTTATTTCATGTCATTTCGAAATATTTCAAAGCATCTCAAGGCATTTTATGGCATTTCAGGGAATTTAATGACATATCAAGAAATTTCAAAGTATTTCAAGGATTTCAAGGCATTTCAAGGATTTCAAGGCATTTCATGGTATTCCAGAAATGGCATTTCATTTTATTTCATGTCATTTCAAAACATTTCAAAGCATTTCAAAGCATTTCAAGGCATTTCAACCCATTTCATGGCATTTCAAGGTATTTAAAGGCATTTCAAAGCATTTCAACTATTTCAGGGATTTCAATGCATTTCATGGTATGTATTTCAAAATGTCATTTCGTGACTTGTTCCACGCATTCCCTTACTGGTAACCCCCTCGGGCAAACCACTCTAAAATAGAGAAGCGGCAGATACAGTCTGTAGGTTAATCGAGCAGGTATGGTACATTCATTTTACGTGATTATTTATATATCTACAGGGTGTCCGTTCTTCGAGCTCCACCATGGGGATCTCAGTTATTGTAAGAGATACGAGGTTGGTTAAATTAGGGCAAAGCAAAGCATTTTCATGGTGAACATTTATCTAATAATAATAATAATTTTATTTACCAAATCATATACAATGTAAATAAATTTCAATAGTAATAAATGAAGTGTAAGGTAAAGTAGAGGTGGTATATCCCAAAAAAGCTCTCGAGGAGCTTGTCGAAAAATACAGGGTGCTTCAAGATTCAGAATTCTGATCACCCTGTATCTGTTCCAATTAAATGTCAGTAGATAGTAAATCGAAAGTTAAGATAGGGACATGTAATCCATTTTGATCGATATGGAATAGTTTCGATAGAAAAAAATCCTAAAATTGAAAAATCTCGATTTCGAACACCCTATATCTCTGTATTCATTTCTTTTAGACCCAAAGTGTGATACATCGATGAAATCAGCTCTTCAGGAAGAATCTGAAAATGCAATAAAATACAGGGTGCTCCATTTAAAATAACGAAGTTGCTAGTTGTTTCTGATAGAAGTGGCAACACTGTTTCGATGAAAATATTTTAGAGGGATAGAAAATATTCAATTATCAAAGCATTCCAATTTTCAGACTGTTCTGTCTTTTCGTTCTCCAGATACTTCTAATAGGCCATCCACCGTGGACCACCCTGTATATCTGACAGACACTTGACAACCCTTCTTGAGTTATGTGGATAAGCTCAAGAATTCAACAGTTCTCTCTGCGTATTCAATTGTACTGTCAAAATTCAGTTTGTTGAACAAAACTGTTGGCGTTTCTTTCAAAGCACTCCAAAAATGGTATTTTGCCAATTTTGATCAACAGGATATCAAACTCCGATATGGTGCCTATAAGAAAAAACAAAGTTGACTGTTGTATCTTAGGTGAGGATCGACCGATATAGAAATTTTAGCCGATACCGAATACCGATATTTCAATTACCGATATACCGATATATCGTTCTATCGGCCGTAAACAAGTTTTCTCTGAAGTTGGTAATATTTATGATGCAAAACGTAGCAGGCGAATTCCTGATAGGACAGAAAGCTTATTGTTTTTGCATCACGACCTACCAAAACTAAATTATCAGTATTCATCAGTTATTTTTGTATTTTAGTAAGGTGAAATAATTTTACCTTATAGTTGCAATCCGCAGGTTTTATTTTATTAATTTTTAATTACTTCTCAAAGAATTTAGTTGATTTTACGTTGCATACTTTTTATTGGTAATAAAGATATATTTTTGATGGAAGTGTATTTTATTGATTCATTCTTCAAATTGGTTCTTTTTTTCCAATAAAAAAATATATCGGTCTATCGGTTTTTGATATCGGCCGATACGATAATCGGCCAATGAGGCCGATATCACCGATAGGCCGATATAAATATAGGTATCGGTCGATCCCTAATCTTAGGCATCAAGAACGTCAAGGAAAATACGATGACAGATCCAGATTCGTTGTGAAAAAGTGCCTTGAATGTCCTAGTCAGAAACGTCTAGGTTTTTGGTTTTCGCTTGGAAAAATAAAAACGAAAATTAAAAATTTTGGTTTTCTTTGAATGATTCAAAAACTAAAAATGACACATCCAATTTTCTATAGCAGAGGAATGATCAGCATGCCCTAAGTGTCACTGACAAGCGAATGGATTTTTCTTTTAGGCTCCCTGATAGAAACATTTGTTGAACGCAGTGACATTTTGGGGCATATCATCTGATTTGTTCTACTACACATATATTTCTATTTTATGTAAACGAGGAGAGAAAATCCCGAATAATCAAGTAAAATGCAGATACAGTGTTATAATTTCATCCGATTTCATCAGTACAGCGTAGCCAAGTTACGAGATTCTATTCAAGTTTCGTATGTTTTTTTTTCAGAATTGGGAAGAGCTCAAAGATCATTCGCAGCATGCCTCAAAGAGTTTACCTTTGAGTGCGTTGGAGGTACTCAGACAGATGATGAGCAAGTGATATGCGCATCGCTAAGTAATTTCGCCGATCTGATCAATCAGATCGAAGATGAGAGAGACAGAATGGTGAGTAACGATTCAGTGTAATTCATCTGGCAAATTTGATCATGATTCATTAAAATGGAAAAGCAGCTAAGCGAGAACAATTTTCAGTTCAAACGGGAGCCCTTCCAAATTGTGGCAATGGCAATTTGACACAATATCATTGATTTTTGGAAATCAAATATGAAATGTAAATCGTTATACCACATGATGATCCTTCTCATGCCATATTTTATCTTTCACATTGTTTTAAACTATTATTGTATGTTACGTACTTATGTTTTATATTCTCTTTGTCTACAAGAGCTTTTTCTTCTGACAATAAAGAATATTCTGATTCTGATTCTGATACCTCGATACTCAATGAAATAATCTTCCAGGAAATGAAAATAGAAATAAAATCGGTTGTGTCATTCGAAAGTTATACAGTTTTGAAAAAGTGTGAAATTCAGAAATTATGCATCTTTACGTTTCAATTGTTGGGCTCTTTAGTTGGCAGAAAGAGTATTGATGAAATGGAGAAGTTTCTTGGATATCCAATGACATCTAGACAGAGCAGTAGGAATCAGTAATTTTCAGAAGATAAGTGAATTCTTAAAGTTGAAAAATTTCGATTCTTCACACCCTACATCTTTGTTATCATTCCCGCCAGACCCCAAGTGTTATAGGTCAATGAAATCAGCTCTTCAGGAAGAATCTGAAAATGGAATAATACAAAGGGTGTCCCATTTAAAAAATAAGTTTTTGCTACTTTTCAATATAAGCGGCAACGTCGCAGCGCTGAGAACATTTTAGCTCGATAGAGCACCAAATTTTCAGAATAATCCCAAGTTACGTTCTCCAGAAACGTCTAATGTGCCATCCACCGTGAATCACCCTGTATATTATCCAATTTTTTTTAATCAACTGCAAGTTAGTTTGGGATGTGTGAATCATCCTATATTATGTAAGCGTGGGAAGTACGACAATCAGAAGTAGGTATGTACGTCAAGTCCTAGTCAAGTCTACCTCGATGAAAATATAGCTTGTGGCAACACTGAACTCGGCCATTCCTTTCAGTTTTCTGTTATCAATCGTCTACTGTCAACATTATAATTTATAATTACTCAATTTGGAAAAGACTCTATTTGGTTTCTCGAACCTAAATATTGTTAAGGTTTGTTAATCTGTGATATTGTTTAGATTAACCACAGAACTCAATGACCAGATGAACACAATGGGGAAGACCACTGATTTTTTAAAACGACATTTTCGTGAACTCTATACTGAAAAACTACCAGTGAATTAATATTGATTTTTTTCATTCATGCTAAGACGATGAAACAAATAAATTAGTATATATCCATTTCAAAACACACAATTCCTGCGCCATTTGAAATTTCATCAATTCATTGGTGTGACTGGTGCGACGTCTTATTCCCAACACGCCTATCGTCCTTGAACTGACCAATCACACTGCAACACTGCAGAATGACGAGGTATCAGAGAGAGATAGCTACAGTTCGGGAATAATACGTCACGACTCCACCATCATATTTGGCTGTTTGAAATATCGAATGAAATATGCTGATTTCAAAACGATATAGATTCGATTCCCTTCAACTTCAACTCATAATATTGATTGTACATAAAATGTAAATCATGATTCGTCGATTGAAAGAGGTTTGCACGGATTTCTTCATCAGTGGTCTTCCCCATTATGAACACATTCTGAGAGCGAACAATGTGTAAGCGATTTCCTTGACATTTGAAAGTGCATCTGGACGAGCTTGCAATGAAATTAGTCGAGGAAATAGGAAATAATAATAGCGATTCTGTTCTCTACGATCCAAGTATATCATGCGCAGGTGTACCTTTAATAGAAAGAGATAATAAGATATCGTTGAATGATGAAACCTTGCAGTCAAGCATAGTTTATAGTTTGATGTTTATTATCAGTAATATAACAAATTCTGAGATTATTATTGATGAGTCATTCAATTGTGGTAATGGTAACGTTTTCTTGCTAAAAGATACCTAATTCTAAATGAAGGACATGAAAAACTATTGTTTATTGGGGCAGCATGGAAGGAGAATGAAAAAATGATCACAACAGAACTTGAATTTGTCAGTGAGCTCAGATAACACATGTTTGACACATGTTCAATTGCAATATGAAGACCATACCCAAAAATTTGATTCAAATCTCTTCAGTAGGTAGGAAAGTCCCTATAATGAGGTCAAAAAACAATATTCGACAAAACCAAGTAATACCGGTTTTGTTTTCGATGCCTCATCTGCAGTATTATTTCCTCGGAGTCAAATCGAAACACCCTATGAATCTACGGTGTTGGGTGTATTCTTGGTGTTGCTAATCAACTCGAATCAGTGGCTTCTACAGTTTCTTAGATGGACTTGCGTGCTGGAATGTTTCCGGAGCTTGAATTTCTGACCGACGATAATTCTAAATAAACTGCTCAACACATGAAACGTAAAATCGTATTTTTTCGATCTAATTTGAATCATCATAACTTTCGATTTCCCCAACCGATTTTCAATTATTTTTCAATTTCTAAAAGCTCGTTTCATTGACTATCGAACCTATGTATATGACTATTTCATCTTTTCCGGATGAGATTCTACAGGATGATAATCAAAGCTGTGCATTATTCCAAAAATGTCAAACGCCTCCCGTTTGAAAGAAAAATTTTTCTATTTTCATTTGGGGTCAAAAACGAATTGCTCCATATGTTTTCTCGATACTGTGAAAACATTTTTGGAATTGTCACACCGCATTACTGAAATATGAATGTTTTATTAAGATAATGCATAATTTCATGCTCTAATGGGCTTATATCACAAAACATTTTTATTTCATAATTCGATAGAACTCACCCAAACTAGCTCACCACCGCAAACTGTTTCTTGCTGTGAGCTCCCTACGTTTTATAAAAAATTATTGAAATCCCCGATTTTTCGGACCTCTGAAAACGAGGCGATGATGTGACGTCAAAACCCTAATACTGAAAAAAAACTATTCCACACAGAGATGAATGATACATGATTTCTGACAGAGTGAATTAGCGCGAGATCACAGTTGAAAGAATTAATATATCAGTTGCCTCAGTCTCCGTCGGGCGTTTGGTATTTTCTTTTAACTATGGCTAGATGAGGTTTCTACGTCATAAGAGGGTCCGTTTTCAGAAGGTACTATTATTTATGTCCAGAAATGAAACATTCCAGTTGATTTTTCGATGGAATTATGTCGTCAATCATTATTTATGTATAAAAGGATCATTATAAACATGGTTTGAATTAAAAGTTCTACTAAGGTGTACACGCCCATTTCTATAGGCTTTGTGTTCCTGTCAATCTAGTTGATGCATGATCAACCCATTCTTGTATACAGGGTGGACCTCGAACAACAATTATGACATCAAGTAATAAAAAAAAATCTTGTTTTGACGAGCAAGAAAATTTCTGAGTCAGGATTCATCACATATCCATGTGACTCACGTCTGCCATTCTTTGGAATTTCGACAAATATTCAATGTATAAGTCCTTTGTGAAGACGTTCACCGCAAATTAAATCACATCCTGATATTCATTAATCCACTGCAATTGTGATGAATTCTGTCAGTTGCATCATGGTATGTCTAGGCAGCAACTGTTTTTCAGACGACATCCTGTATATTTCTTCAGTCTTCATTTGCCTTGAAATTATCTTCTAAAAATCTATCACAAAGTGAGAACGACGCTCTGAAAATCCGGTTGTTCTAACAATTCCAGTGGTTTCATCTTGCAATAGATTCTGTATAGCAACTTGACATGGTGATGACAACCTCTCCTACACGCTTTGATCGCCAGAAAATTTCTCAATCGGTTTCCTGCCTTGAAATTTTCTTGCTCGTCAAAACAAGATTTTTTTTATTTCTTGATGTCATAGTTGTTGTTTGAGGACCACCCTGTATATAAGAATGGGTTGATCATGCATCATTTCAAGATTTTTGACCACCGTTCGAACCAGATTGACTGGAACACAAAGCCAATAGAAATTAGAGCATCAAATTATGCATAATCTTAATAAAACCTCGAATAAAACATTAATATTTCAGTAACGCGTATGACAATTTATGAATTTTTTTTACGGTATCGAGAAAACATATGAAGCAATATGTTTTTGACCAAGAAAAAAAATAGAAAAATGTTTCTTTCAAACGGGGGGGCGTTTGAAATTTTTGGAAAAATACACAGCTTTGATCATCATCCTGTAGAATCTCATTCGGAAAAGATGAAATAGTCATATCCTATAGGTGTGATAGTCAATGAAACGAACTTTCAGAAACTGAAAAATAATTGAAAATCGGTTGAGGGAATCGAAAGTTATGATGATTCAAATTTGATCGAAAAAATGCGATTTTACGTTTCATGTGTTGAGCAGTTTAGTATTAAACAAACTAAAGAAAAAAAAAAGAAAAAAATAGCTCGGCCGGTATTAAGTGATTACCGGTTCTCTAAAATGGGTCGTCACTCGTCAGTGCGTAGTATAATGATATTCCTTGTAAATTATATAGTTCTTCAACATTCCAAATTTGTCTCCTCATTCTTAGTTTTTGTTGGATCGAATTATCAATAATTGAAAGGGTTGTTTAAGAATGTTTACTAATTATTATAAATAACTGATTTTTCAAATCCATTTGTGTTTGGTGTTCGATTCATATCAAGTGCAAAGTACAAAGATCGCATTACAGAAGCAAAATAAAACAAGCATAGCAACATAAATCATAACATAGCAAAATATCGATGCATGAAAAAATTACGTAACTTTATGACGTGAGAAAAGTCTTTGAACGCTCTCATTTATAGATTGGCCATTTAGTTTTTTCGCTATGCTGTAACCAGTTCGAGAGAAAGTCGGAGTTTATCTGGTTCTTAAAAAAGGTGCCAATCATGTTTCAATCAATCGACAATTTTTTTCTGACGGATGTTTATTTATGTAACTAATTGCGAAAAAAGCTCTGATAATTCGTGAATACTTCTTGAAT